TAGTTGTAAATCAAAAATGCCTCAAGGTATTCAAGTAGACAACCAGTCTTGTTTGGAATGTCTAACCTGCTGATTGATATTTGTTTCCATTTTTTATATATTTTATAGAAAAGGCATACAATGTACATTGCATAAAAATAAAATGACATAGTTCAAGCAAGTAAGAATCCGATGAAAAGAGTTTTGACGAATCATATTCTTGATATATGAATTATGTATATTTATCCCATAGTTAAATTTGTTGACTATTCAATTTTTGTGATCGAGTACAGGTATTTAACAGGTACACCTGTATACATTGATTTAGTTCAAATTATGAAACAATTTGATGAAGTGACAAGTCCATTCTCAATGCTATTGTTCCCAATTTCTAGACACTTTTGAAAAATATCCTAATCCTCATTTGGCTTTACTTTGTTTACTATGATTGTTAAAAGTCTTGCAATCTACACTTCTATGAATGAAACAGCTTCTTTTTCCCCAAGTCTATAAAAATCTCCAGGTGGTCTGTGATGATAATTCACGGTGATTCATGGGGCATTTTTTTCCCTTCATTCTTTTTCCCCCTCTGACATATCATCTTTGTCTCCGCGTGAAGTTGAATCGAGAGTTTTTTTCTTGGGCTAGATTGATTGCTAGATGATGATTGTAGTCGGTAATATGCCTTAGTTACAATACAAGCATTTCCTATCGTGAGTCATCAAGCCCCTTGCTGCAGTGCACTGGGTTTGTCTTAACACTGTAAAAGAAAAGAAAATTGTCTAAGTAACTTATGCAGTGTCACATACAATTTTAATTTGTTTGCAAATTTCAAGCTCGCGGGGATTATGTCGGCTTACTGCACACTCATACACATCACATGAAGTGTATTGAGAAAAACACTTCACTGTATATCACACTATAAGCCTTTTAGAGTTGCCCTGCTTGTATAATGTATCTGTGCATACATACTTATATCGTGAAAAGTTCACGCTTGTCAAATGACATTATTCTTTGCAGTCTGAATGCTACAAAACTTCTCCCTTGAAGGATGCTTTAAAGCTTTGTTGTCAAGGGCTTTTCATTGTAGTCCATAATAAACATAAAAATTGTTATAGTTCCTTGATAAGGAAAGTAAACTTTTAGATATTTGTGATTGAATTAACTTTCAAAAGAGAAAATATTGCCACAAAAAACTTCTTCTTAATTATAAGGATAACAACAGATTTGCTTGTAAAATTTAGAAAAGAAAAGAAAGTCATTCACATTTGATGATTGTTCCATGCTGTCTTCAAAGATCTTTAGAATTAGGTTGATGAATTGATCAATGATCTGATATCCACAAATAAAACTATTTGTTGACCTTTACGCATGTTGAATACAATTTCTTTAAGAACTGCATTGAATGTAAATTGGATCAAAATCAAATATCAAGTTCAAGTTAACAGTTATTCCATGCATTTACATTTACCAATATATAGATATAGAAATGAATTAGCAAAGATGATAGAACAGAATATTATAAGGAAAAGGAGGGGAAAAAACTCACAGCAACAGTTGGATGCTGATAAATGTAAACTTGCAATGTATGATAGAGAGTTTATTCTGTGTTTGTTATAACACATAAATAAGTTTTACTTGACTTTTCTGCTTCTGTGTGGTGTAGGCCTATGACTGTACTTGAGCAAACTTCCTATAAGAAAGCTGGATTGAATTACTTACAAATGATGAAGGTCTTAACAATGCAAGAATAAGATTTGTATCTTGAGCCACATCATTATCACAAGAATGGCTCCTAATGATTCAGAAATGAGATTTTCTAGTCTGGGAAAAGATGGATCAATATTGAATCTATTTGATGTAAAAATTAGACTGGATGCCTGACTAGAACCAAGCTACCGATTGTCATATTTCTGGTGCTGCTATTCAAAATATACTTGACAGCTGCTTCTGTGGCATGTATGAAATGGGAGAGGAGGGGGAGAGAATTATTCAAGTTCTTTGTGCTAAGTGGTGAAGTTTAACCCTCTATGTAGATAGAGGTATGACAACCTCATATACCATTGAGGGCCGGGGGTTGGGGAACAAAGGAACATGGCTTGGTAGTTGTGACCTACCCTATAATCATGAGTTCATTTCAGTTCAGTAGCCCATCTGATGGTTTCACTGTGCATGCCACATTATCCAAAAGAGAAAACATGCACTCGGATTTGAATGTTTTTCATTCTTTCAACAAAAAAGAGAGTAGTACCCGTGTAGATTTTTTCTTAAAAGAGATGAATTGGAAGTGAAAAGGTTGACTAAGGTTTATTTATTCTTATGATGTTTTGTCAAGCTACTGTGGTGTATGAATGGGCATCCTCCCTCCGTGTCTCAGTTGATACATGTACATGTTATGGAAGATATTTCCTCTTCACCTTCTGCAATAAAGCAAGCAAGAAGAGAGCGAGAGAGAAGTAAATCTGTGTGTAGCGTACATATGGGATCAGCTATAGCTGGGGCAGAGGTGTAGCCATTTTATTATCTCTCTCTATTTTTTTCCTGTACAATCTACATACAATGTCAAAAAATCTGTGTGTGTGTATATGAATACATCACAGTAGGACATGCATGTAATTCGGGAGGCCATCTGACTCATATCATAGGAGTCTTCTCTATGCTATGTAATGAAACTCTTTGTGTGTTTAATGGCATTAGCAGATTTCTCTCCCTCTCTCTCTCTCTCTCTTTCTGTTTTTTTCTTCTTCTTCCTCTCTGGTTCTGTGCCGCATCAAGGAGAAAATCTTTGGAGCATGCCATATGTGGGCTTCCAATACTCAGCGAGTTGCACATTTGCATAGCTGTGATTGATTTCTGCTCAGAGATTGGTCGACATTTTGCTATTAACCTGCACCCTAGCTATCCCAGGTTGTAGCCGACATTAGATTACTGGCTCTTCAGGACCTGAAGAAATTTGGCAGTAATGATATTAAGACCGTGACGTGATGATGATGATGATGATGTAGTCAAAATATGAAGAGTTCTGTGGTATCGATTGAAAAGTGTGTTGATACATGCTATTATAAAATTAACTAATTGAATATGGACCTTGAGATTCCTCTTGATCAAACCCATTGAGAAAGCAAAACTAAATCATCTCAAAATCAGTTACCGTGTATCTGATGTAATGCAAGCATGCTACCTTGGCTTGATGCCTTTTGCTAGGAGGAATTACTTTCATTTATCTAATCCTCCAATTCTTTCTGTGGGTCATTTTTTTTTTTGTTGAACCAGGGCATGTGAGTTTAAAGTCTCACCTCCCTGGTTGAACCACCTTGTAAGTGAGAAACCACAGAGTCATTCATTTTTACAAGAAGGCCAGATTTCTCAGTCGATATTCATAATAATGCATAAGGAAGACTTGGTAGTTGGTACCCTAATTCCCCAGGCTCAAAATCAAGCTAGCATGCTTTTACATTAGGAAAAAGAAAAAGAAACAATATTAATCCAATTAATCCAATCCCTCAGAATCAGATAGGATGTAAAAGTGTTGGGCCTCAGAATGCATAACTACATGTACAATCATACACTTGTTTAGTTTAATAGCACTCGCACAATCATAAAGCATACATGTACCGATCCATTATACCTCTTATCTGCACAATGCATCCATATCAATAATCCTATTGTAAATTCTATACCACTATTGCACTGTCTTCCCTTTTTTTTCATTTGCAAATTGACATAAAGGTCAAGTAATGACTACGCCCCAATTTGTATGAATACATATTTTTGATGACGGCAATAGTTTGTATTTTCCATTTGGTGCGCCTCTTTAGATTCCGTACACTTCCACACAAACAATTATTCAAATCAGAATCAAACGCCCCTAGGCCTTGCTTACTAAAAGAAATCTATGCAAACAGTACGCTCAATTAAAATATGCAATTCCATCTTTCAATCCAGACTGCATCTGAAAAACACTTGCCTCAATTTGGATTGTGATGGTCATGTAAGAAATACAGGGAGGAGATCATGATCATGCAATCATCTGTTCAAAATCAGAGGTGGAACATTTGCTTAACAGAGCTTGGAATAGAAACGCAGGAACCATGAAATATTACTGTTTTTTCTGTCATGTATGCAGTAGTTTGGAGTGGATTGTATGAATATAAGTGGAGCAATACAAAGAAGGAGAAAGGAATCTAGCAGTCAAACAAGTGGTAGATTTTTCCTGTTATCCTGTGCTCTATAATTTCCTTTTAAATTCATCTTTTGCAACATGCAGATAATTTAACACGAGCGCTTTTGCAAAAATACTGTACATTTTGTATTCTTTGCAGTATAGTGAAGAAAATATTTGATATCTGAAACAATTTTCCCTTTAAGTGCCAACAGCAAATCCTGCTGCAACGCATCTGGTCTAACATGTATGTACATCATGTACCAGATCTTGTCATAATTAAAAATCCATTTGTTATTTCTGCAGGTTCTTCTTGTGGAATACTCCATGTATTTGTATCAAGATAATTAATGAATTAGCAACCATGACTGCAATTTTCTAATAGAAATTATATTTGAAGAGGCGCAATGGCTCTGTAGGCATTAATCCTCATTACCACTCCCTTGGAGAGAACTTTAAGCCGTTGGTCCCCTGGTTCTTTACCAACAAGCATAGTGGTGTCGGGGTTGAGTGGATATATCACTGAACTGGATCACAAGGTCCGTGGTTCTTTGGCAAGACATTAATCTGCATTTTCCACACTCAATCCAGGTGAGGTATATGGGTACCTGGTAGGATTATTCCTTGAAATGCACTGTGCACTGATAATGGCTGCCAGAGCTAAAGCTAGGGTAATAATTTCCAAAGCTCTTTGGAAGTGCATACCGGTAGACGTTATTTCATAATGTATTGCACGCTATACAAGAAATTAATATTATTATTATTATATACATGCGTTCTTAGCAGTCAGCTAAAACAATCATCATACAAATCTAACAAGGATTAACAGATACATATTCTTTTGTTTTTTATTTTTCAGTATGGAGCCAGCTGAGAGCTCTGCCCCTAAAAGTCCTGTTGGACTGGGGGCAGGTTTCTTTGATTCTTCACATCTCTTTGGTAAGTGAAACATTCCTTGAATTGATTTAAATCCATGAAAAGCAAGATGATCTAAATAAGATATGCAAAGTGATTGCAGTTTTATAATTGTAATCTCATTGTAGTTTCCCACTATCCTTTACTTGTAATCCCTGCCCAAACTCTTGAACATTTGATGCATTTCAATAAATGTTTGGAAGAAAGTTTCAATTCTTAAAGATGAACATGGTCTTGCATGTTTTATCTGTTGATTTATTTTGAATATCAAGGTTACAATGCTTTGTTAATGATAATGTAATGCATCTATATGGTTACGATGTAACTATTTGACGAAAAAAAGGAAAAATCAATTACTTAATTTGCAATTAATGTTTTTAACAACTGACCTGAGGTTGGACTGCAAGTTTAGGGAAATGTCACAGTCCTAGATTTATGCCAAATTATCAAAATACACCTTGTGAATTTTTGTTGGCATGCTCTACAGAACTGCTCTGCACAATTATTTTCCATCAAGAGATTACTGTTTCATGATAACAAGTGTCATGTCATCTGTGAATAGGATGATCCTTAGAAGATAATGTAAATCAACATCACCGGGATGAGTCAGTTTCTTCTATCAGGAGAAAATTACAAGAGAGCAGAGAATGGGTCTGCTTCAAGAATGCTATCAAAGATATCTGCAACAAATCGTCGCCCGACTGGCAGAAGGGCATTAGTGCGAGCGACTCGAACACTACTTTTTTGAAATTATTCGCATTTAAAGATTTGTTTTATATTTAAACTGCTTTTCGTCCTGAAAAATGGTTTAAAACTTTAAAGACTAATAGAAATGTTATAGTAGAACACGACCACAATTTTTTCTCAAAAATAAGTCAGTTTTATAAAAGTTTGAGGCAATTTAGTGCTTATGCCCTTCTGCTTAGCGCTTCATTTTTTTAAAACTGAAATTCAAGTTAACTCCCTTCTGCCAGCCAGCCGACAAAATTACCAGAGCACTGCAAACCACCAAGAGATAGTAAACATTGTATTCACAAATTATCCCTGAGGAAATTTCACATCATCTCATCTCTTTTGAAGGAAAACTGTACTGTAAATATCATGGAATTTGATGGAAAAATTCATTGATGAATGGGAAAGGTTTCTGTTTTTTACGGCTTTGAAGGATAAAAATACAAGCCTTGGCCCATCACATAGAGAGTTGCGATTGATTTGCATTGATCGCAAGTTCTCCAATCAATCACAGAATGGCAAACTTCTATCTCTTTATTAAGTTGCAATCAGTGGGAATCAATTGCAACTTTCCAAAAGACGGGCCCAGGAATATGATACAGATATTATGCAGTAAACGGCTTTTGCCCAGCTTAAGAACATTACAAAAAATACCTTATAAAAAAAAATGCTTCAGAGCGTTCAGATGAAGAAATCGCTTGGAAAGCTCCTGTAAACACAAATTTTGTCTTACAACGAGATGATAGATAAAAGAAAAGGTATTTCAATAAGGAACAGGGGAATGAGTCTGTGTCAAATACACAATCGTTCTTCTCTGAATGAATGCCTAAATTGTTACGGAGATAATCACAGCCCCCTTTTCCTCCCTCCCTCCCTCCTTCCTTCTCTCCTTCCCTCCCTCCTTCCTTCTCTCCCTCCCTCCCTCCCTCCCTCCCTCCCTCCCTCCCTCCCTCCCTCCCTTCCTCCCTCCCTCCTGTATCATTATAAGATATCAAGTGCAAAGGGGTAGCTCATTCCAATCCAATCCCATCCCATTTCTCTGTCAGCTTTCATCTCTTTGTTGAAAGCTAAATGGCATTATGCGGGAGCAACGTGTGATGCAAACCTTTGCATAGCAATAGCAATCGAAATGTCAAAGTGGTACACAATGCATTTGCAAGTACATATAGAATGTATTATTGAATTGAAGTAGATAAACAATTTGCTGATATGATGTCAGAGACTCGGCTCTGTGTGTGTGTGTGTGTATTAGTACACGTACACGGAGATAGGATTTCAAGTGACATGACTGGAGATTCAATTGATTCTTCTGTCAATATTTATGAAGGATTAAAAGAGAGCTTGCATTGCATACGTGTTTTCCAGCATACATGTGTTATAAATGAATTTAGATTCACAGATGTAAATCTCATGATCAAGCCAATAGATGACTCTTTTTCTCTTTCATAAGCCATTTAAATTATCACTCTCCATTTAGCCACTTAATCCAGCTCTTTAAAAAGAGATGCACTGTTAGTTTTGCTGAATCTTTCATTAATGATTGGTTAAATTTGTGCATACATGTATGTAGGCCATCAGTTTTTAATGTATTACTGTGAAATTGTCACTACTTCAATGATGTGTACAAACATAAACATATCTCTGTTTTAGATTAATTTTAAAATCAGTACAGAAATTCATATACCGGTATGACCAATCACAGTTTCTAAAGTAAGTTTTTACATGTAGGTGATGAACCTTTCTCAAAACCAACAATTTTTTTTTCATGTGTATTTAGAGACAGCTTGTCCTGTTGTTTTAATCGCGATAAAATGTTTCCCCTCACATGCAGCTTGGTATCAGACTGTCATTCAATCAAACAAAATAAATCAATCAGTAATGCATATAATAGGAAGTTATGGAGTGTTGGCCTAGATGCCCATGATGTACATTTAAGGTTCATTCAGGTGTGATGTGACAAAGCCGCTGCATGTTTTTAATGACGTAAAATGTAGTACACTTCACAAATCATATTTCTGTATACATCTTAAAACATAGAGCTTGGTGAATAGACACAGTTGCCATTCATTTACATGCAAAAAACGTGCCATGTCTAAACAATCCTTTACATACTGTAGAAACCAAGATTGTCAACAAATTACAGAAACTAAATTGATTGATATTTTGACCATTACAGCACATCCCTTGTTTGCTGCCGCTGCAGCTGCCGCTCACCCCTCCACCAGCCAAGACCAGTTCTCCATGACACACATGCCCAGTGCCTTTTCCATGTTTGGGGCACACCCCGCCTTCTCCTCCCATCTCATGGGGGCGGAGTTTGGAGGCCTCGGGTCGCTAAGGGCAACTGCTTCTTCCCTAGGTGCTTCCACTTCAGGTTTGTGTACATTGCATCATTTTATTGGTCGTCTTGTTTAGTTATGTATTAATGAGTATTTCTTTTCTTTCTCCTTCTTGTCAGTGTTGATGTATAATTTTTCTTTTTGGGGAGTACCGGATCTTCAACAAAAAATGAGAGTATGAGACCATGAATTTTATGCCAGTTTACCGAGTTCTTACGCGACAGAAAAGTGCTTGTGAAATTACTGAGAATATTTTTGGTTAAAATGCATGCTTTTGATGGTTTTCTGTCATTGGTTTAAAGTCCCTCGCCAGCAGAAATCCATCATGCATATTCATGATGTAATGTTACCCAATTGGCTCTGTGCCACCTCTCCCCGGCCAATGAATGAGCTGGCTTCCCCTGCAACCATAGCAACCAGATAGTAGCTTGAATGAAATAGCTTGCCAGCCAGTGAGTGTGGTGTAGGAGTTGAGTGTGTGAACGTGTGGGTGGGTCCTAAGTTCAATGACCCATTTGTGTGTTGTGTGTGCGCGCGTGTGAGTGTGTGCTTGGGTGGGTGTGTGTGTGAAAGAAATAGTCTAGGGGGAAGCATGAATGAGTGAGTGTGCTGGGCACTTAACCTAAATGGAAGTCCTACAGCTGAGTCGAGCTAGTCTACATCACAGACTCAACTATGTCACGCTAGGAATGGAGTAAGTATTAGATAGCGGATGCCGTCACTGAGCATTGTGATAACCCATGGGCAGTGTTTGATATCATGACATACTAGGCGTGTGACAGTATTTCCTGACCCATTTTCTTGACGATCCAACAAAGCAGGATTTCAAAGCAGGATGCTCAAATCTTTTTTCTGAAATCCTTTTGCTGAATGTTTTGGCAAAGAGTATTTTAGTTTGGGACAATTTCATTCCTGTCTATGACTAACATTACATCAACATATATTTATTAGAAAAACTCATCTATTCTCATGAGGTGGGTTTTTATTAATAGAATACTTGTATGAACAAGCTGGTTTGGACAATTTTCTCTCAATGGAAACATACATAATTTGAACAGTACAGATGTATTGCATTTAGAGTTATTTGTGAGTGATCACTCGACAAATTCGATCTGTGCCGCAAGAACTAATGAATTGGCTTAGCAATAGTTAGCATTAACTCATTTATTCATTAATTTATTCTGCTACATGTACATTGCAGCTGCATTTACATTATTCCATGAGTTACTTTGAGAATATAAAGTCCTGTAATGTCCTGTAATGTCCAGATGTGTAATTCAAATTATATATTATCAGAAATATTCATACATTTTTTCATATTCCCAAATAAAAGCTTTGCCAAACCATTCATTGAGCAATTAAAATGGTGATATTCCTAGATAAAGTATTGTGTCCTAGGTTCCCCCTTGGGCAAAAAGATTGCTAGCTTAACAGATGCAGAATTTCTGCGCTCTATTAATTGAAGAAAAAAATGTAAATGATACATAATGAGAATGCAGCTGTCAGTTAATAGTTCATGTTTTATGTTTACTTCATCCTTGTTGTTCATTGTTTTGTTATTTTATTTGATTCTGTTAGAAGCAGGTGAGATTGGTTGATTGGGATTCAGTTTTTAAAAAGGAATTATGAATTTTCATTTTTATTCAGGGGGGGGGGGGGGGTGAATAAATTTAAATTATCAATATTTGTGTTTGTTAGAACTCATTGTGAAAACATTGCACTATTGGTATCAAGGTATTTGCTATGCAAGAACAAAAAATGAAGGCAAGTGGGTGCTGTACATACCATATATTTGGGGTTTTGACCAACCTTGCAAAATCTGCATTACTCTTGAAATATCAAAATCTTCATGCAGACTTCATGGAAATCTGAGATGATTATTAATTTCTTGCAAATGTGAAATGAGAAAAGACCTGGAATGTTGGACAAATGCAACATCTAGATGAGTAATCAATTACTATTTTCAAAGCATTGAACAAACCCTAAATACACCGCAACTGCATGCATGATGGTTGTGGGGTTTGGGTGACATTTGTGGAGAAATGTACATTGTTTTCCAGTCTTGGCTTGAGAAATTAACCTACTCGCAATTACTAATCTTTACATCACATGCTGTCTTTACTAAACCAGTGCAATTCATTCTAATATTTGTTGTCTCCTCCTTGTTCTTATTTTTTTCCTCCAGTCCCGGGATGGCCTTTTGAGGCTAGTGCTCAGTTGTATAGCCTGGCAAATTTAG